CTGGTCCCTTATTCGTGGTTCACGTATTGAAAGGAGGACGAGCAGAGATGCCGTGTGACGTGGTCACAGCAGACTCCAGTGACAGGGTGGTGCTCGTGCTCTGGTACAAGGATGGTGTCGGAGCTCCTGTCTATAGGTAGGTAATAATAAATACTACAGTCATTTGCTATGTTACCTGTATCCTCTCTCTCTCTTTCTCTCTTGTATTTTATTTATTGTATACATTACAGACTAGTCGACGAATGGACTCATGTGCATCACTCGGGTATTATAATTTGTTACAATAACAAGGGCTAAGGGATTGACCACTGTCATTCAAGCTTAGTAGTCTTTCAGTTTCTCATTACCTTTAGGGGATGAGCACCTTAGAATTTCCTCACTACAGCTTTCTTCTTTCTTTCTTCGTATAAGATAGATACTCAAGTGTTGGCGGGTTCTTGTTTATTAGCTGATCTCCCTTAGGAAACGGAGACTTCGTGTTTTTCTTCAAGTATCTAAGATATTGAAGAAATGACACACCTGAGAAACACTTAAGATATTTATAAAATAAAGTTTATCTCCTGGCCCCTTGTTTAAGAAACACAGTGTATGATACCAAGGTGCAAGTCTCTAAAGCCAAGTTAAGTGTATTAACAGCCAGCTCATTAAACTTAATGGAAAACATCAACTGACAACACTGTCATCACTTGACGTGGGTGAAGGCTGGTCGAGATCCATGGGTGCCAAAGTGTTGGCGATGATGTAATTTCCGAGTTTTATGTTCATTAGTATTGGAAGCTGCCATCAGTGAAGCTTTCAATCACATTGGTCTTCTCAGATCAGGTTCCTTGTAAATTATTTGGGGAGACCAGAGCAATGTCTGTGTTACCCAGAGAAATAAAGAAAGGCACCTAATTAACTAGAGTGAGACCAAACTAATTTTCAGCATCTCTGATCTTAAAAGAAGAGAGTGACTGGGAGCTTAAGCTGGTAGTTTCCAATACTATTGAACAAAAATTGGAAGTTACAGCATCTCCAATACTTTGGCTCACATGATTCTAGCTTACGTTACACCCAACCCATAACGTGACATAACTGTCAGGTAGCCTCTCTTGCATTTAGGTTATCCTTACCTGGCTGCTGCCACATATAAACTGACTTCAACCACTTGGCTTTATATATTTTTATTGTACCTCTTTTGCGTTTTTTGAATGAACAACGTCCGCAGATACACAGCTCAAGAGTCTTGCAAATGTATTGTTTCCTAAACTTATTGGTACCATATTTCTTGTTTTCATCTTATAAGAATGATTTGAAGTGTTAAATGAGTCCGAAACTCGATACAACAGGAAGAAATTACGAGGCAGATGTAAGAAGAACATGGGGAAAGTTTTTTCTAATCTAAATTATAGGAGAATGGAATAAACTACTCGTTAAAGTTGCAAGTGTGAAGACACTACACGCAGGGCTACTCAAATGGCGGCCCGCGGTTGAAATCCGGACCTTCTGAGTGTTGAGTGTCCCGTAGCTTGGCCGCTAGCGTACTCAGCTCATACACTGAGGTCCGGAGTTCGAATCTCCTCCGTTACGGCTGGAAAATATTATGGATGTATTTCCATAAGACACCTGCTGGCCATGTTCACCCATCAGTATAAAATGGGTACCTGGGTGTTAGCCGATTGGTGTGGGTCTCATCCTGGGACATAACTGACCTAATTTGCGGGAAATGCTCAGCATAACAATCGGCTTTCTATATAGTAGTATGTTATTGATGTCAGCTAGGCCTGTATACCTTGTACATGTACACGTAAAGATATTATTATTATTATTATTATTATTATTATTATTATTATTATTATTATTATTATTATTATTATTATTATTATTATTCTGGTTGGACCGCGGCTTCAGGAGAAAGCTTAGTTAAATAACAGGAGTTACCACGTTCAGGATCAGTTGGTACACAAGACCGGGATTAATACATTATTCTATCTGAAATACATACACTGAATGGAATACAGTATTCTAGCATAGCTCAATAGCAAAACAGTACACAGGCACACATACACAGACAAGTTACCTACAGTCATACACAGATTACACCAGTGTTGCTGATTTTTACATGTTAAAATTCGGATTTTTTTTTTAATTTACTTCAAATCTTGTTGTAGTGTAATTTTTATTATATACAATTCTGTTAATCAGTATATATTTAAATTTTTCAGTTTGAAAACTCCATTTAAACCAATTTGAGTAAAAAAATCCAAAACTTGTTCGATGTAATGTAAAAAAAAAAAATTTCCCACTATTTATCTTCACTTTTTGTAAATTTTTATAAGACGAGGACTGAAAATGAAGTTTATGGAAAATGATGAGTACACTGACCTATACTTGGATTTGTTGCTTTTCATGAATGTGTGTAAAAAAAGTATCCGGACCTTTGTATACATTGGTACTTATCCAAGTGAACCTTTGCTCATAGTTGAGTAGTCCTGTTATTTTTTTTTAGTTAGTTTAATATGTTTATTATGCACCCCATACCCATCCTGTGGGCGGTAGTCAAAAGATTACAGAGGTACATAATTGGTCCAGGGACTGGACTCCAAAGTTTTGATAGCTGAGCAAGTTACAAAGGTAATGAACTAGATCTGGTCATAATCATGACCAAGTTACAAAGGTAATGAGCTCCAGGTTGAGCTGGTCACACATGAATAATTGCAAAGGTAATGAATCATAAACACATTAATCATGAGATTTTACAAAGGTAATGAGCTCCAGGTAGAGCTGGTCACAATCATGACAAGTTTCAAATGTAATAAATGATAAACACGTTATGTTCTAGAGTGATTTAAGAACCAGGTAGACAAGTATCTTCAAGTACAGTACCGAACTCGATATAATGCTGGATACCCGATGTTCGTTTATCATCTGCACTAGAAAGATCAGTTTAAAACGAGGCAACTAAGTTAATAATTGTGTTAATTATAGAACTGGTGATACACTGAAGTAGTATCTCTGGTGCATGGACAGTCGCAGGAGTGTAGATCTCCTGTACACTCTCCCTCCCACCAGGTAGACAAAGTAATACAGTTGCTTTTACCTGCAGCCGACCACTATCTTACACCTTGGTTAGTATGTTCCTGGTTAAAGATGGTGCCACTCCTTGCTCTAGTGAGCAGAAAACATTCCTTGTTATAAAAGATCCAGGAGGAAGTTGACATGTACGGTGCTTGGGGGTCTGAGCAGGGAATGTACTAGTGAAATAAGCAATTTTTTTTTTATACGAAGAAGAGTAGCGCATTGATTAAAGATTTAAAGAAATGCATGAATACCCCCTCTAAGGATAATGCGACCTTAGGTATTTGGGTAGGCAATATTCAATACTTCTGTCTGGGTATCCTTTGTTCGAACACACACACACACACACACACACACACACACACACACACACACACACACACACACACACACACACACACACACACACACACACGCACACACACCAGAGCTAAAGGGGAATGTCCTATGAAGAAAGGTTGAGGGAAATCGGCCTGACGACACTGGAGGAGAGGAGGGATAGGGGAGACATGATAATGATACAAAATACTGCGTGGAATAGACAGGGTGGATAGAGACAAGATGTTCCAGAGAGGGGACACAGAAACAAGAGGTCACTTTTTGAAGTTGAAGACTCAGATGAGCCACAGGGATGTTAGGAAGCATTTCTTTACTCACAGAGTGGTCAGGAAGTGGAACAGTCTGGCGAGCGAAGTAGAGGAGGCAGGAACCATACATAGCTTTAAGAAGAGGTATGATAAAGCTCATGGAGCAGGGAAAGAGAGGACCTAGTAGCATTCAGTGAAGAGGCGGGACCAGGAGCTGAGTCTCGACCCCTGCAACCACAATTAGGCGAGTACACACACACACACATGAGATGATGGAATATATGGCAACAATATGCAAGGAAGCTGAGGAGAGGTTTGTACCCATGGGTAACAAATATAACCAGAAGGCCAGGATGAGCCCTAGGTTAACCCAAAGGTGTAGAGAGGCCAAAATCAAGTGTGCTAGAGAATGGAAGAAGTATAGAAGGCAAAGGATCCAGGAGAATAAGGATAGCAGTCGTAGAGCCAGAAATGAAAATGCACGAGTAAGAAGGGAGGCCCACCGATAATACGAAAATGGTATAGCAACGAAAGCCAGACCTGACCAGAAGCTGTTGTACTGCCACATCAAGAAGAAAATAACAGTCAAGGACCAGGTTATGAGGCCGAGGAAGGAGGGAGGGGAGATCACAATAAACTATCGAGAAGTATGTGAGGAGCTCACCATGAGATTCAAAGAAGTGTTCACAGAGAAGTCAGAAAGAACTCAAGAAAGATGGAGAGGTGGGGTACACCATCAAGTGTTTGACACAATACATACAACCGAGGAAGAAGTAAAGAGGATGCTAAGTGAGCTAGATACCTCAAAGGCGATGGGGCCGGATAACATCTTTCCATGGGTCCTGAGAGAAGAAGCACAGGCGCTATGTGTACCATTAATAACAATCTTCAACGCATCTATCGAAACAGGGCGACTACCTGAGGTATGGAAGACCGTAAATATAGTTCCAAATTTTAAACAAGGGGACAGACACGAAGCATTAAACTACAGACAAGTGTCACTGTCGTGTATTGTATACAAAGTCATGGAGAAGATTATCAGAAGAGTGGTAGAGCACCTAGAAAGGAATGAGCATATCTGTGACGACCAGTACGGAAGGCCCCTTGGAGCTAGTGATCATGTGGTTCTGTGCTTAGATTACATAGTTGAGGTACAAGTGGAGAGGGTAGCAGGAATAAGTCGGGAAAATCAAACTACAAAAGGGGGGACTACACATGCATGAGGAACTTCCTGCAAGACCTTCAGTGGGAGACAGTATAGGCAGGAAAACTAGTACAAGAAATGATGGGTTATGTTACAACAAAATGCAAGGAGGTAGAGGAGAGGTTTGTTCCCAAGGAAAACAGAAATAATGGGAAGACCAGAACGAGTCCTTGGTTTACCCAAAAGTGTAGGGAGGCAAAAACTAATTGCACTAGAGAATGGAAAAAGTACAGTAGACAAAGGACCTATGAAAATAAAGAGATTATCCGAAGAGACAGAAACGAATAT